TATTCGTGTTCAGGAGGTCGAACTCCTACTAGTGCGAGTTTACAGCCAAATCTGCCCGCTGGGGAGGAATTCGGTCAAGAACTGGCCTGTTTATGAAGGACTGGGTAGAAACAGGAGGAGGGAAAAACTCACCCATGCGCGTATGCGGCGCGGTTTCTTCACGGCGCCGCGGCGGCAGGGCGGAGCGAAAGGCGATGGCCCGCGTCTCCGGCGCTGTGCTCCAATCCAGCAGCCTCTTTTATGTGGAAGGAAGAGGAGGGAAAAGTAGAGAGAGGAAGGGAATTGAACAGATAGTGGGTGCATATGTGAGTTAGTGGTAGTGGTGAGAGATCACAGAAAAGTCGACTATCACGGCGAATTACTTCAGTGAATGGCGCAACTTGATAGTTCCCTTCGATTGTGAAAACGACGCAAGCTGCTTTTACGCGAAGTTCAAGCTGAGGTTTGGCAAATTGCCAACAGTTGGTTGTGAACCTCATAACGGTATAACATCACGTCCCGATCGAAGGGGATTATTCTGCCAGTTTCGCTGTTGACTGAAATAATACTCTGTTACTCGACTTTTCTGTATTCTCTGCTCACCATTACCATTAACTCACCTACGAGCGTTCACTATTTCTTCACTCTTTCCTCTCCTCCTCTTTCCACACAGAGGAGCATAAAAGGGGGCTGATTGAAGCACAAAGACAGAAGCGCAAACGATCACCCTTCGCCTCGCCCGTCGCCGCGGTGCCGTGAAGAAACCGCGCCGCATACGCGCACGGGTGAGTTTGTACACGGAGCCGGGTAGAAACAGCTGTATAGTGCTGGTTTCACAGAGCTTTTCTTCCTCCCCCCCCCTCCCAAATCGTCAGTCAGAATGCGGTCATATTCGAAGGTTTTCAGTCTTTCTTCTCATTTTGTTGTTCACTGCGCAACACCTCTAAAGTCTCGTTCCTGCGATTCTGTCTCGTTCCTGCGATTCTGGGGCGTGTTGGGGGGTTGAGTTTGGCGCGGCTTCAAATTTATCCCCACCAATCGCTTAAAGGCAGTTGGCACGATAAATCCCCAAAAAGGCTAGGATCAATACTCCTGGCAATGGAATTCTGCGTTACCCTGACGCAGGCGCGCATAGCGCGTATTCCCTCCGAGGAAGGTGCCCTTATAAGGAGCCCTATCAAGCCACAACTTTACGTCCCAAACGCCCGCCACGCCCGCCCGCCCACAAATGGACGACCGTTCCTGACGCTCGTATTCATTCATTTGCTAAGCAAATTATGAAGCGAAGGGATTGGTATGAAGCGGCCGTGATGCTGCATGCATACATGGGTACACATATGCAGCCGTATCTTCGGTAGCGGTGATTGGCAAGATGCCTACGGGAAACTCGTCCGAAATCGATTTTCAAGTCACTGAGAACGGAGGCTTTTTCTTCGCAGGATTTTGACCGTTTCACTCCGTTCTTTCGCCATTTCCCCACTATACAGCGCCCTACTAGCATTTTAGGCTAAGTAGGAAACCATCGTGCCAACTGCCTTTAAGGCGCTGAACCCTTCCCCTGACTCGCCTGAGCGCACGCAGCTAACAAGACTGTTCTTGATTTCTGGACGAGAACTAAAAGGAGCTGCAAATTACTCTCAATTGTATCGTGTGGTTCAGAACTGATTCAGATGAAAGGAACATTCGTGCGGTCCTATCGTTTATTTTAATTAATATGGTACGACAAGAGTGTTATATCTGTAATGAAGAGAAGAATAACACACGGAAGAGCATTGGCAGCATATTGAACGTCTACAGCTGTTAAACTATCGTTACGGTATCTATCTATCAGTCTGTGATGTTAGATTCAGAATCCACTGGTAGCCGCATTGTAGGCACTTGTAAAAGCGTCCAAGGCTGGTTGAAGTGTCTGAGGGACAAATCCAGTTCTCCGTAGGAATATGAGTAGTACTTGATGCACGTATAAATACTGCTGATCAGTCTGAAAACCGGTTTCATTCAGGAATCCGGGAATCCGAGGCTTTATAGTGGTTACCTGAATGCTGTTGTTTCGTTGCTTCCGTAGCTCCTGGAGATAGCCATTCATCTCGCCCAACTGGTCGCCTCTGGCTAACACCTCCATAGCCGTTTCCAGTAGTACCATCGATCCAGTTCTTCCTATACCAGCAGAGCAGTGTATTATTATGGGTGTCCTAGAACGTTCTTGTGAAAGTATTAGCCTCTATTTCTATAGCTATTTTGAAGCGCTTACTTGATATTAGCAATGCTGTGCAGAAGAAATAGTGGAGCGGCATCAGCGGGTGGTACGCCTCTATCCGGCCAGTCAACCCAGTGATAGTGTACGCAAGAGTGTGGAGAACATCCAGGTACTGACACCTCGAGATGAGTCACTTCCAGTTTAATTGACGTTTCGAATGGAAATGCGAACTGAAAATAAGAGTTGTCGCTTAGTAATCGCTTTCGGAGACTAGCCGGGGGGTAGGGGGCAGTAAAGACCCGCGAAGAATCGTACTGCAAAGGTGCACATCTACCACTTTCAACTTATATAGCTCTGACTCCCACCTGAATTCA